TTAAAGAAGTACTGTTATGTATAAAGATACTAATTTGGCCGGAAATGTTTTGCGGGTCTCTGCTTGTGATAACTATTAAACATATTTTGCCTTCAGTTCAGTTCTGTTTTATATCCACTAAATAGTCTTACTATTCTCACTGTTAAATATGAAAAAAAAAATATGCATCAACACTGTCAATTCACTGTACAATCTTAAACACCTCAATCGGATTTCCCCCCCCCCCCAACTCTTCTTTTTTCAAGAGAAAACAACTTGAGAGATTTCAGCTTCTCCTCTTTGACAACCCCTCCATCCCAGGCACCATTCTAGTAACCCTTCTCTGAGTCCTTTCCAACTGTTAAGTGTCTTTGCTAAGGTAAGGAGCCAAAGATTGAACACAATATTCCAAATGTGGCCTAACCAATGACCTGTACAGTGAAATTATAACCTCTACAGACTTTTATTCAATGTATATGTACATACAACCTAAAATCCTATTTGTCCTATCACGAGCAACAGCACATTGTTAGGATGGTTTTAGAGACTGATCAACTTTTACACCAAGATCCCTTTCCTTCATAACACTGTTAAGGTTATTCCAATCCAAATTACACTTATAATTCAAATTATGATAACCCATATGCATTATCTTGCATTTATTATAATTAAAACCCATCTGCTATTTATTTGCCCAATTCACTAAATGGTCTAAATCCTTTTATAAATCAGCAGCATCCTCTTCACAGCTAGCAACACCCAAGACCTTAATATCATCTGCAAATTCAAGTAATTTATTGACTATTCCTTCATCTATGTCATTGATGTACATCAAAAAGAACAAAGGTCCTAAGACTGAGTCCCGAGGTACCCCACTTGTGACATTAATCCAGTTTGACTGAACTCCATTTGTAACAACCCTCTGCTTTCTTCCATCCAGCCACTCTTCTATCTAATTTGGTAACTTATCCCCCACACCTATAGAGATAATTTTTTACAAGCTTTTTATGTGGCACCTTGTCAGATGCTATCTAAAAATCCAGATACACCATATCTACACCTTTACATACATCTACATAAGGAGTAACCTTTTCAAAGAATGTCAAAAGATTTGTAAGGCAAGATTTTCCCTTAGTGAAACCATGTTGACTATCCAGTAAAATTTTAAACTTTGTTCAATGATTTTGCAAAGCATCTTTTAACAGACTTTCCAAAACCTTTCCCACAACTAACGTAAGACTAATGGGTCTATAATTACTGGGATAATTTTTATCACCTCCCTTGAAAAGAGGAGTTACATTAGCTAACTTCCAATCCTCTGGTACCTGATCACTATTCAAGCACTGACAAAAAATAGTAGTAAGTGGATCACATATCCAATCTTTAAACTCCTTCAAAACCCTTGGGAAATATTATCTGGCCCACGAGCCTTATTGTTTTTTAGACTTCCCAATTTTTTCTTAACCAGCTCAGAATTAATGCAATCATCTTCTATTTATCAACTATTCAAGATGTGGAATACTGCTTAAATCTTTGTTAGTAAAAACTGAAGAAAAAGCAAAATTTAATAATCCAGCAATCTCATAATCATCAGATACTTGCCTTCCTTTATCTTGATAAAAGAGTTGGCACAAAGGATCACATATAAAGTGTAATAAACTTAAAATAAGACCCAAAACTTGAGTGCTTTCAAATAGTTGACTATTCTTCTTTGTTCTCCTGAAGAAGAATAATCAACTATTCTAAAGCTGGAGCACTGAGTTATGGAGCAAAATAAGTGTGAAAAATCCGTCCCCATGTTAAAATATAGAGATTTTTTTTTATTTTCATGACTTTGCTGTGACCTTGACACTCCAAGATCTAATAATTTCTAAGTTGGGTCATAGTCCACCTCTATACTAACTTTCGTGGTATTTGTGCAGGAACAACTAGAAAATTTGTCCGATTGTCTGTCATTATCATAAATTTTAGAGTAAATGTGATGGGTTTCTATTTTGTCATTTTGATGCTGTATGTATGTAAATGTTTACAGAAGCAGATATTTACTGTATTGTTAGTTGTTACACTGCATCATAATAATGTTTTTTCCTATTAAGTCTTTTATATATATCTTATGATTCATTTAAAGATCTTGATCAAATTCGGCCCTCAAAAAATATGGAAATGTGTCCATATATCTGTCATTATAATTTTTAGACTACATGTGATGGGTTTCTATTTTGTCATTTTGCTGCTATATATATGTAAAAGTTGAGAGAAGCAGACATTTACAAGCCATATTGTTAGTTTTTACACTGCATCATGATAATTTTTTTTCCTATTAAGTCTTTTTTTATAATATTTTGTGTATGATTCATTTAAAGATTTTTTCTACTTTTTTCAAAGAATATAGCATCTGCAGTGGACACTCATCGTATGATAGAATTTCTCTCTGTTCAAGAATCTTATCTGAATCCTTGGGTATGGATTGTTGGACGGGTCTTGCTTATTACTCTTCTGTCCCTCATTCCTCTGATTGCCATATTCCAAGTTGTTTTCAAGTACAGACATCTACCTGTTACCAAGGTGAGGTCTCAGTAATTTCCCTTGTAGAAACAAAGATTAATTTATTATTTAATTTAACTACTTTTCCTTCTACTATTTTCTTTTAGCAAGTAAAACGTTTTTGTGTTAGGAGAAATCTCAACTTTCACAGGGGCTATCTTGAAACGTATAAGTTTAGTCATGTACATGAGTGTCTATATGGTAATTTACATCTGCATAAGCTATTGACACATACAAATTCTATCATCTGCAGTCACTAGGAAAGAGTAATGAATTTTCTAAACCCTTGATGAGTGCCACGCCCATCTTATATACTTTGCCTTGAGATTTACAGCATATGTGTAGCTACTTGACACAAATGTATATAGTCGTCAGAAAGAGCTCAGTTTAGAATATAATCCACCAAGGATTAATTTGAAATTGGCACACATTTTTTGCCATGAGGTATATGTAACTGCCTGTAGTATTGTTGTTTGTTTGATCAACTATAGCAATTACAGTTGTTTCTTACTTAAATATGTTATAGTTAGAGAAACAATAAAATTGTATTTAGGTCTTACTTTTATATTTCAGTTATTATGTATTATTTGTGTTTTAGAAATCATATTTGAAAGGTTTGATGATTTTTTGATATTTTACTATGCTCTGCCTCGCTAAATCATTTTTCCTACATAGGCGTGTGGAAACCATTTTGCTAGCGGTTAACACTTTTCTTCCGATCATAATGTTATAATGACCCATGGGCATCAGTTGACATTTCGATATGAATAATAATAGACAAAGAATTGCAAAATAAAGTATTAAAAATAAAATATAAATGAAAAGGCAAAAATGTGAAATTATGCATATGACCAAAAGAAAGTATTTTAAGATTATTCAGCAAAGAGATAAAAGGTACGCATATATTTCAATTTCTTAAATTCTAAGCATTTCGATGCACTGTTAAGTTGTTGATAATAGCTAGAGTTAGTGATATGGTAGAGAAAATGGAAAATAAAATATAAACATTTAACTTAAAAACTTTTGATATTCATTTAGGAGGTTCTAGATATTATACAAATGAAATGTGAAGACTGTAAGATAATAAGTAGTTTTTTTATATCAAAAATGAAAATCACCTTGCAAGTAAACTATTCAGAGTCTGAGTGCAAACAACTACATTAAATATTTTTTTTATTAGAAAATAGTATTTAATTTAGGACTCATCTTGTGTATCCTCAAATTTTCTTTAGTGCTGAGAATTTCTTTACTATCTGCACTCCCCAAGTGTTTTCTAGTGACATTTGTGTCACACTCCTGTAAACAGTGGTGAAGAAAATTTGTGCATACACAAGATGCATCCTGAACTAAATGTTAATCAAACAGCATTACCTTTGCTTCTAAATTTATAAATAGTATAAACATCTAAACTAAATATTTATTTTTCTGAAACTACATACTTTCAGGAAGGTTTTTGTCAAATTTCTAAACCAATTTCATCCATTAGTTTTATTTTTAAAAAGAAATATAATGACAGCTATGTTAGGTGCTCCAAGTCACAGCACCTGGTAGTCAAAGGGTTAATATTCATATTTCTATAATCAAAAGTCACAATAACAACAGTGACCATTTAGAATATAAGAATGAGTGTAAAAAATAAAACTGAAGATGTGGAGTTCAGTGATAGTGATTCAACAGGCAGGCTGTCTGGGCTTATCTTTGGAGTTTCGACTTTACCACCAGATTTATATTAAGTCCAGGTATACAATCACAAGTGAAGAACACAAGTCACTAACTTCAAATAGTTTACAGTTAGAATCAAGAATCGACTCTGAGAATGAGGATCCAAAAACACAATCAAGATATATATATCTTCAAAATCAAAATGCGTCGTTTACAGCAAATAGTTATTTAGTTCATTGAGCAAATCCTCTGTAATTTTGATCAAGTTGCTTATTATACTCAATAAACTTTCAGTTGGAACACTAGAAGGATTATATTCAGACATGCTTAAGTTCTAAGTTTCTTTCATCATTATATATTAACTACGTTACTCAATCAAGAGACATAACATTCATTACTTACATTGAGGTTGAGATGGTGTTTTGGCTTCGTTGCAGTCTAGATAGCTTCAACATCTTTTCTGACTGACAGCGTGGTTAGGAGACTTTTCTTTGGTCCTGAAGAACTGACTTTTCAGCTCCAGACATGAGTTTTTAATTGAAGTTCTTTAATATGCTTGTGAGTGTTCAAATAGTATTTGCATCTACCTGTAAGTAGGTCTGACACTTCATTGGACAATTTTTGCACATTCCTGGGTTTTTCCAGAACCAAAACCCGATTTCTTTCATAATTGGTTATAGTCTGAGTTGTTGAATCAGCAGCCTATTCACTTGCACTGCTCCACACTTTTTCTGTCATCAATACTACATCAAAGTCCCGACTAAACCCCCCAACATTAACATAATTCTTGACCTTTTCCCAGCTTAGGTGTTTTCTCTCATGCTATCTTCTGCTACATATGCATTGTACTTAGAGGTTTCATAGTTTTTCTGAAGCATTTGAATATATAAAAGTGCTTAATATCCACAAATGCTTCAGTGATGATGAACTTGATGATGAAGGTTGTATATCTGAGTACAAAGTGAGAGAGTCTGATAAATTAGTATTTTGAACAATTTATTTTTGTGCAAAGTCAGAGCTTCCAAGTGAAACCATAAGTAAACTACTAGATTTTCACTCCCTTAGTGGTTTGAAAGCTCAAATGAAAAATTTAGTTTGGCCACTAGTAATGAAATGCAGAAGATCATATCAAACTTTTTATGTAATGACATTGTGAAACATCTCAGAAGACGTGACTTTTATGGTGCCATGATAGATGAATTGTGTGATCTAGGATGTGAAAAAAAAAGCTAGTCATTTATGTAAAATATATGCATGAAGACATTGTTGAGACATCCTACTTAATAAGTGTAAAGCTTGATGATGGCAAAGCCCATACAGTTACCTAACATTTGAAGCATACCTTTGATAAATTAGGGGTAGATATGGAAAAATGGTAAGCCTATCTACAGATGGAGCTGCTACTATGGTAGGTCACAGAGCTGGTTTAATTGTGCAAATAAAGTCAAAGTTTTCCACGTTTGTCACAAAGAAACACTGCATAACCCACAAACTTGCACTGAGTGTGTTGATGCTATCAAAAACATTAAAGCACTTGAAACCTTCAAATCAAGATTAAAAAACAGCTTGTATTATTTCTTCAGCAGCTCTGCAGTATGAACTGCATAACATTCAGAGCATTTTCAATGACAAAGAATTGAAAATCAAAGAACCACACACTGTAAAATGTTTAAGCATGAGAAGTGCATTTCATGCTGTGTATTGTAATCTTTGTGTTGCAGCAGTGCTTTCTGAATTAGGTACAATAGACAAAACAGCTAAATCACTACACACATACTTTAACAGTTTTAAAATGGCTGTAATAACAAGCCTTATGTTAGATGTCCATGATGAAATTCAGATGATCTGGTATTCAGTCAAGTGAGACCACTAGTTGATTCTACTTTAGCTGGATTGGACGAGGTAAGGAAAAATAGTGAAAATTACAGGGAGATGTTGAGCACTCTGGAACAGAATGATGGTTGTATGAAAGATGTAAAACTTACATAATATAACAAGATGGAAATATCATCCATAATCTGAGATCCATACTTGAGCCTTCTATTTTTAATGAAGATCTAGCAGATGGGGCTATTAATGAATTTGCAAATTTTTATGGAACCAATAAGCTTGCCAAAATTTCAAAAAAAATTATTTTGTACAAAATGAATGGCCTAGGTTCAAAGGCATATTGAAAAGTACATATAAAAACTCAAAACTGAACATTTATGTAAAAGGGTTATTAAACAGTATAATGATCAATTTTCTAACATATCAAAATTATGTCAAATAACTTTATGCTTTTATGTACAAAACAGGCTTAAGACAAAGTTCAGATACTCTATGAAGGCTGAAAAGATACTGTTTAATGCGAATTGTAATGTTAGGCCCAGAAATTTCACTGTATGATCTCAGTCCTGCAATTAAAACATGGGACAGAGCCTATGATCAGAAGATAGGTGAGGCTTTCACAACCATACTAAATGAAAAATAAATATGTATGTAATCTGTGTGTATGTGTTTTTTTTGTAGTACTTTTTTGAAGCCAAATACACAATAAAATAATACTGACAATTTCAAATGATTAAGTTGCCATATAAACCAGCACACACACTTGTCTGTGATACTGAATTACTGATTACCTTTGGCAGATGCTGACAGAGGCAAAATTTGATCATTACCACAATAATCATGGCAAAAATTATCAGGAGCACTGGGAAAAGTTCCACAAGTAGTAGTAGAACCACATATTGCAACATTAAAAATTCCTGTAGATTAAACCAAAGCTGTGCCAACAAAACAGATATTGTGAAGAACCTTAAAAAGTGTTTGGCAAACTTGAATAATAAGCACATAAATATCTTCTTAACCAACAAGGCTAGAACTTTTGAAAGAGGACAGCAGAAAGTCTGATGAAGGAATCTCTCCTGGACAAAACTTTTTCTGAGTGAGATGTGTCATGAAATTCATATCTTCTATAAAATGTGAAGCTCATTAACTGATAGACTTAGTCCTTGCTGAGAGAAATACTGAGCAGATACATTAGATAGTTTATTATTATTATTAGGCTGTTAAATAGGTTTTATTAAATGCTCAACTTCATTAGGGCTTATTTAGAGCAGATCATTACAGACAGTTAGGTTAAACTATGAATTAACGTAATGTTCTAATTCATGAGGCATTATGTTTGGCTTCCATTATGCTGTGTAGGATTATGCTTAGAAATATAATTACTTTGAACTATCTTTACACATTTTATCTGGAATGTAAGCAACAACTTAGAATATAACATATGTTCTTAGGAATACATAATACTACAGTATTTATAATTATCATTTACTTGATCTGGAGTAAATTATTAGGTCTGGAGTGAGCAAGTT